ATTATATTATATATTTACTAATTGTTACTTTTATTAAAAAGTAACAATTAGTATATTTTCTTAAAAAGAAAACTTTACATGGGCTGCAAAATCAACAAGATTCTTTCCTGAAGTATATGCAGGAAGAAAAGACAAATTTCGTGATCTTAAAATAAAAACGATAGCTTTGTAGAAGGAAATTATACAAATAATGAAACAACACGGATATATGAATATAGATGAAGATTTGTTAGATCGGAAAATGCGGAACATGAAGAGATCATATAAAACTATTAAATAAAACAACAATAAAAAGATTACAAGACGTGGAAAAATATCGTGAAAATATTTTGAAAAATTCAGACATTTTTCGTGATGATCATACCATAAATTATGGATCTACGTTAGAATCTCCTATAACAAGTTTATCTATCCCGTCATCTCAGCAAGCGATAAACAATTTATCAGAGGACTTACTATCTACAACTTATTTTGTAAGAAACGTATTAACTTCATCTACTATTTTACCTGACAATAATGTTTTTCAATCTACAATCTTTCAATCCAATAACTGTTCTAAAGCATCATCGCTTTTATCATGTTCTTTGCATGCAGATTTTAAAGACCGTACTTCTGTACTACTGAACGCAAATCAGCATACTATTTAACATAAAAGCAATTAGAAATAGATGAAAAAGAATAGACGCTTTTATGGTTGTATATCTTATGGTTATATATGGTCTATATCTTGAATTTCTAAGCAAAATAATACTATACTTCAAGAAAAAAATGATTTATGGAAAGAATATCTTGCTTTACAAACTTTACGAGAGTAAAGTAAGAGTTTTGCTTTTCTTAAATAAGAGATTGTTGAGACTGAAAAGAGATTTTATGTGTAATTTTATATATTTTTTTAAAAAGTATTCAAGTTATATATGTGTACACATATGTATATATATATATATATATATATAGACACATTCTCCGCACAACATCCAGCAAACGGCGCTTCAAGACCAATTATATTCATTGATTAGTCTAAAGACTTAGATCCCGAGATAATTATTAAATGTTATATTCAAGTTATATTTTTTTAAAAAGTATTCAAGTTATATCTCTAAAAAGAATGTTTTAATTCCAAAAAAATTGTATATGTATAAATATTTATATAATAGAGAGATGTGTTGATTTAGTTCTAAAAAATGTTTAGTTGAAATAAAAATGATTTAAACATACAAGTTTTTAGTTTAGCCAAAGAAAAACATTTTTCTAGTCTTTTCATTTAAAAAGTTTTATCTTTAAAGAAAGATGAGTTGATTTAGTTCTAAAAAATATGTTTAGTTCAGATAAAAATGATTTAAATAGTTAACTATATAAATTATGATTTAAACCAGTTAACTATATAAATAAATGTTAGTTGTTTAACTTTGAAATTGTTTGTTCAGTCAATATTCTAAAGACATGATGAAAAGTAGAACAACATGCTTTGTACTATATAATTAACAGAACTTTGTTTTATGTTACCATTTTGTTTCTTTTATATGTATATGTAAACAAAATGAAAAAAATATATATATATATGTATATTTCCGCAACAACATCCAGTGTACATACGGCTCTTATTACCGTTTATATAGTTTACGTTTAAAATAAATACAGAATTTTTAAATACATACTTTATTTTTTCTCTTAATTGATACATTATGTTATTCCGTTCTGTAATTGCCATAGTATTTCTATCATTTGGATATTTATTCTCAGCAATGTTTACTAATACTTCATTTTCTATATCTCTTCTTTAATATTCTTAATAATAATAGTCTTCTTTAATATTGAGATTTTCTTTGTCAATCATAAAATTGTGTAACACATACAGCGCCAATCAATTTTTTGACTAAGTTTGAAATTAATACTGTCTAATTAACGAAGTCTCTGAAACTTACCTTTCAAGAAACCAAAGGTTTTTTCAATTATGCTACGTATACAAGACAGTTTTGTATTATACAATAGTTGCTCTTTACTTAAATGACCCGCATCTCGAAACGGTGTCATTAAGTTAACTAATAGGGGATATACTGATAGGGATATACATCTTCAATTAGAGTTTAATTCAATTAGAGTAGTTGTGGCGGTAATACAGGTTGTTTTGTATTTGTTATTTGTTTATATAAAGTACTATCTAAAAACACAACGAGCGTTATGCATTCGTCCTGGTAATCCAATAAATTGTTAATAAAACGCGTTTTATATAGTCACACCTATAAATCCAAAGTATTATAGGATATTACATTTAACTAACACAAAAAATACATACATAATATTTTTAACTATATATTACAGTGAGTGTACATACTTTGCAAAATAATAGAATAGAATCCTTTCCTATTATAAAAATCATTGGATATTGCAACATTTATATTATCGTTCGTGTTGACTTTCCAAGAGTCATCTTTTATAAATACAAACAACGATGTGTTTTTGACAACAAACGAGCAACACTTGCGCGCAGCATTCTACGGCTTGAAATCATCGACTTTTATAGATACCGCTCATTTATTATCAACAAAATATATATAATCAATAAATCTATCATATATACCTTGCCGTTTCAGCTCTACAAAGAATTTTTCAATACTCAATTATCTAAATTGGATAAATTTCATTCATGTGAAAATAAAAGAATGACTAATAAAATTACTTGGCTAAGACAAAAATTGATTAAACGACATTCTATAAAAAACTTAAAATATTTTGTAACTTCACACGACCAGCCTTTTCAAAAAACTGTTACAGCTTCCAGTTTTTTTACACATAATACTTTCAAGTTTTCCTTTGCACCACCTACTACTGAACAGCCTAGTTACACAATAAACTTAAACTTCCAAACATCATCAAGAACATTATTAGAACCACGTAAAACTTGGTTCATTAACCTCACTAATACCTACCCAGCAAACAATTTCTGACTGCGCAGACCTTGGCAACAGAAACTGTGTGCAGAAACGCTACAGTACGGAAACATGCTTTGGTGCTGCCAAAACTGTTAGCACATAGAGACAAAAAACGCAACAACTCTGTTAGCACATACATGAGACTATTGCGG